ATCTATCTATCTATCTATCTATCTATCTATCTATCTATCTATCTATCTATCTATCTATCTATCTATCTATCTATCTATCTCTCTATCTATCTCTCTATCTATCTCTCTATCCATCCATCTAACCAGCTATCCATCCAGCTATCTAGCCAGCTAGCTAGTTAGCGAGCTATCTAGCTAGAGATTGCTCTGAGTCAAGTTTTTTTTTTTCTAATACCCCGTAAGTTGGTTAAATATGGTTCACAATAATCACTACAGTCACAGTAAATCTATTTAGTCATTCACTTGAACTTTCTTTCAAGATTGCTGTAAATCAGCTGGTGGGATACTAAGATGCTAATTTGTTTTTAGGGAAGTTCAAGGGCAGAAATATACTGTATCTCTATTTAAATTACAATATTAACTGCATCCAGTTTTGTATTTTAAGTTCAGTACTTTATTGCACTGATAATAGAAATAGAGTAATCCTGAAGGGACGTTTGGTAGTCCCTTCCAAAATGTATCCGAGCTATAAGAAACCCCTTGTATTTTGTCTCTGTTTAGCATCTCTTCCAGTACACCACAGAGGACCAGAATGGCGGCGTTCCCCCCCTTCCATTCAACAGCCACTTTGCCTGCTTGTCATCTAAATACATGTGCCCCGGAGTGCCCGCTGTGATGAGCACTTTGCTTGCCAACATCAACGCTTACTATGCTCACACCACCCAGTCCTCCAACAATGTTTCTGCTTCCGATAGATTTGCTGCATCCAACTTCGGCGTAAGTTCCTGACACAATTTTATCAATGTTGTCAGTGTTAAACAAAAAAAAAAAAATCAGCTCAATTCTTTCCTGTTGGAACTCCCAGTTCTTGGGATGAACCAATGTGCATAAAAAGTCCCTCCGGGTGAGTGCAAAGACAAATAAAATGTAGCCCAGCCCTCTTTGACAAACATTCGCCATCATCTGATATGGCTTGGTGACGTTAAATGGTACTAACAGATCTATCAGCCTTGTTGTTTTTCTTAGTGTCATTCGTCTTAGTGTCTTTCTTTGTCATTTATATTTTTAGAAGGAGAGGTTTGTCAAGTTACTGGATCAGCTGCACAACTCCCTGAGGATTGACCTCTCCATGTACCGGGTACTGAATTCTGTCGACATAATTTTTTTTACTTATGTGTCACAAGTGTTTGGCAGCTTCATTCTTCAACATAGATGCATCTCAAAAAAAGGCACTCGAGAAATATGTCTTTCCATTTCCAACCTCCATGCTTACGATTGCACTTTCAGAATAATTTTCCTGCCAGCAGTCCTGAAAGACTTCAAGATCTCAAGTCTACCGTGGACCTGCTTACCAGCATCACATTCTTCAGGATGAAGGTAAGAATGAATTGCAATATGAAGGAAAGCGTTCCGTTTCCTTGGGACTTACTTTATCCTAAAAAAAAAAAAAAAACCCACATGCATGCAAGTTTCCAAGCCCTTCTGTCAAGAAGCCCGAGGGCCATCCTAAGAACCGGCTTACATTAGCCTATCCAAATGGAAACTATCGGAGAGAGAAGCAAACGTTCTTGAAATTAGTTAGCGCATTGTTGTTTTGAAACGTGTGTACTAGTTGCTTCGCTTAGACTGGCTATGAGCACATTTTGTGGCTTTTCACCGAGCTCCTCCTTTTAGGTCCAGGAACTACAAAGTCCCCCCCGAGCCAGCCAGGTTGTGAAGGACTGTGTGAAAGCCTGCCTCAATTCCACCTATGAATACATCTTCAACAACTGTCACGACCTCTACAATAGGGAATATCAGACGGATCCTGTAAGTTTGCACATCTGCATTTAATTCACACTCAAAAGATTTTTCACCTTCTGACATGTTAAAACCTTAAAAAAAACACTTTGTGAAGAATACAAATGGGCCGCTGCTTACTAACGTGAAGGTGTGGCCCTTCCCGTCCCCAGTCAAAGGCGGTCCCTCCAGATGAGCAGGGTCCGAGTGTCAAGAACCTGGACTTCTGGTCCAAACTCATCACGCTCATTGTTTCCATTATAGAGGAGGATAAAAATTCCTACACACCTTGCCTTAATCAGTGAGTCTGTTTCATGTGTTCACATTTTGTTTGTGGCTCAAAAAACTATATGTGTGTAATAGTACATAGTATAGTAGCTATTCTTTATTCATTGATGGATTTAGTTTGAGCGTCGTGTTTCTTCTTCTAGGTTTCCACAGGAATTAAATGTGGGCAAGATCAGCGCTGAGGTCATGTGGAATATGTTTGCTCAAGACATGAAATACGCCATGGAAGGTCAGCGCCGCTTGAATGACATGAACAGCAGAATGGGAAGGATGGGACACTTGTGCGCGTTTGGGAGTGTCATATAAAAAAGGTTTTCCTCCCTCCCCTTCCGTCTTTTTCTCTTTCTGTATTTAGAACATGAGAAGCACCGTCTGTGTAAAAGTGCCGATTATATGAACTTGCACTTCAAGGTGAAGTGGCTTTATAATGAGTACTGCAAGGAATTGCCCACCTTCCAGAAACATGTACCTGAATATCCGGCGTGAGTACTTTTTAGCCAAGGACCTACTTTAAGTAGCATGCGGCAACAAATCATGTCTCCCCCCCCGGTTATATTTCCACTGCAGATGGTTTGAGCCATTTGTCATCATGTGGTTGGATGAAAACGAGGAAGTATCCAGAGATTTTCTCCACGGTGCTCTGGAGAGGGACAAAAAAGACGGCGTAAGCACTTTTAGTCTTTCATTATTTTCATCTCTGCAAAATGCTCTGAAGCGCCGAAAACCCAACACACAAGACTACGCGCTTAATTTTAGAAACATCCTAAGAATATGTTAGTGCGCTATAAATATGTGGAGAAAAAAAAACTGTCCCGGAAAACTTTCAATCGTCAGCAGTAAAATGTGAAAGCTATTCAGATTTGACCCCCGATAATGTATTCATGCACGTCTCGTGGCAATTCAGGTAATTCGCAGCCGACTCAGCACATAGGATGCTCAGGCTGAAGACCCCGCAGGCAATCAATAATGAGTCGCTACCAGAGGCGAATGGCAAAAGAAACCCTTCTACCGCACATTCCAATCTCTTCGATGGAGGCCGCTTGCATCATTGAAGCGAATGGAGCCGGAAAAAGAGAAAAGCTCGCTTCAGGGGCTGTTTAACCCTTTCATGCGCCAATAATAATAATAACCTGTAATCTGATAACATGAGAAGCTGTCCACTGGAGTGATCGCTGCCCCCGAAAGGGTTAATTGGGGATCGGACCTCCTCCTGTTAAGCGCTTGCTCTTTTTCGTCTTGTCGTGCAGTTCCAAGTCACTTCGGAACACGCTTTGTTCTCGTGCTCGGTGGTGGATGTGTTCTCTCAGCTCAATCAGAGCTTCGAAATCATCCGCAAACTGGAGTGTCCCGACCCCCAGATTGTTGGCAACTACATGAAGAGATTCGCCAAGGTGACCTTCACCTCCTCATGCTATCTGCAGACATCTTCTATAACATGGTCCTATTTTCTTCTTCTTTTTTTTTTTTAACTCTATTTCTCTTGCTTAGACCATTGGCAATGTTCTGCTGTCTTACGCCGACATCATCGCGAAGGAATTTCCAAATCATGTCAAGAAGGAGAAGGTGGTGAGTGTCAAGACAAACACTCAGTCGGGTCGATGCTACGACCGCATTACTCCGTGATGACATTTAGCGCACGAGGCGGCACAGCGTGCGGCAATAACTTTTCCTGAAAATGAACAAAAATATGTCACGAGCAAAATCTGCAAGTCTCGCCTCAAATCTGACCAAATGCACAACTGGGCATGGCTCGCAGCCATCTGACGAGACGCTAGATGACGAGCGGTCTGAAATCCTCGCGTCAGCCGTCAGCAAATTCACCAAACGCTCTCCTGTGACAGTGAAAAAGACGGACAGACCGTAGCGTCCGCTTACACACTGAAATGGAGACAGACGGCTGTCGATCAATAACCTCTTTATTGTAAGAATAAACGGTTCATGTTGCCAAAGAAAGCATCCAACTAGCGTTTCTCTCAACCGTCAGCATTCATCTCACAGACACGGTCTAGCAATCCTTTTCTTTCTTCCACGCAGGTCTACTATGCTCGGGTCAATCTTGGGCATGAAGTTTTTGTTAGACGCTACTTGGTGTCAAAAGTTTTGACGACCACCGATCGACGGAGGTCCAATACGAGAGCTTTATACTAAATCCTGGTTTATTACCGATGATGGCAATTAGAGTTTGCGGCAATGTGGAATTTCCAGCAGCACAAATCCCGCCTCTTGAGAGTGTAATTGACACGGCCAGCTTGCGGTGTTTCAAACTGAATTAATTCTGTGTAATTAGCTGAATGTTGTATAAGCTGAGCAAAAGCGGGTGGCACTCCCAGAGAGACCGCAGCCTCGGAGGACGATTTAATTAGTGCAATCTCCAGCTTTTCTTGCCCTGCTGACTTTTTTTTTTTTTTTCTTTTTTCACAAGGGCTAGAACGGACTGATTTGCAGCCAAGCATTGGCTGCATGCAGATGAAGAGTGAATCCTAAACGTATATGGACTGATTTTTTTTCCTTCTTTTTTTTTTTCTTTTTTGTATCTGCAGCCATGTATCATCATCAACAATATCCAGCAACTCCGAGTTCAGCTGGAAAAAATGTTTGAGGCAATGGGAGGAAAAGATGTGAGTAGCAGCCCGATTCAGACGATCTTCTGATCCGCATGGAGTCTATTTATTCCTCCCCCCATTTGAATTTTTCTAGCTCAATGTGGAGGCAAGTGACTTCCTGAAAGAACTGCAGAATAAACTCAACAGCGTCATGGACGGCCTCAGCCACATCTTTGCTGTCAGGTTGGTGTGTCCCGCCCCGTCTCATTTGATTGTCAGTGGTGAGACGTTACGAAGTCCAAGTACCGTATTTTCCGCACTATAAGGCGCTTCGGAGTATAAGGCGCAGCTTCAATGAATGGCCTATTTTAAAACCGTTTTCATATATAGGGCGCACCGCATTATAAGGCGCATAGAATAGAAGCTACAAAAGTGGCTGCGGTTGCGTTATGCATCCACTAGATGGAGCAACGCTAAAGTGAATACAATACAATACCGATTTATTTATACAGAGCATTCACTGCTTGCCAAGCCCCAAGAGTTGCCATCAATCTGTTCTTTGCTGTAGTTTCCAGCCCCAAATCGAGGACAACGTCAGACAGATGGGGGACATCTTGGCCCAGGTCAAAGGTCAGACCGTGCCGGCAAATGGCAGCGTAGTTCAGGAAGCAGACAATGTTCTGCAGCCCATCATGGACTTTCTGGACAGCAAGTGAGTCGGGCCGGAGCGTCCAAGAGTATTTTTCGTGACGGCGCGATCTTAACCTGAAGTTCTTTTTGCGCCGCAGCCTTTCGTTGTTTGCGAAAATCTGCGAGAAGACCGTTTTGAAGAGAGTGCTGAAGGAGCTGTGGAAACTGGTCATGAATACCATGGAGAAAACCATTGTGCTTCCTACGCTGACCGACCAAACGGTGGGTGATTCATCTCTCTCGACTTCTCAGCTGCCGAACTTCCAAAGTCAAATACGATGAGCCTTGTGACGAATTATTTGAGGAACAAAAAAGAAAAAAAAAATCTCCTTCATGCATCCTGAATACGTTTTGTATTTTTTAAGTGTGAATTTGCCTCTCAATTGTCTGCCTTTTTCTCCTCAGGGCACTCAGATGATCTTCAATGCTGCTAAGGAATTAGGCCAACTGTCCAAGCTCAAGGTAACAAAAGCGACATCCACAACGTCGGACGAGCCAGTCAACAGCAGACGCGCTGTAAACACTCGTCCTTTTGCAGGAGCACATGGGCCGAGAGGAGGCCAAAGCTTTGACTCCCAAACAGTGTGCGGTCATCGAACTGGCACTCGACACCATTAAGGTACAGCCCTTTTTTTACGACCGACTCACGATTCCAAAGCTAAAATGCTCATCATGTGCTCACGGCTTTAGATACACCTTTGTGACGAAAGCTGTTTTTATTCGCGCAGCAATACTTCCATGCCGGCGGCGTAGGCCTGAAGAAAACCTTCTTGGAGAAGAGTCCAGACCTTGCGTCTCTGCGTTACGCCTTGTCTCTGTACACACAGGCCACGGACAAACTCATCAGGAAGTTTGTTCTCTCCCAACATGCTCAGGGTATGACAGATGTCAAACACACTGAACTCACACGTCTAATTTGACACCACTGAACATTTTAAGCCTTTCGGGGGGACAGCGGTTACCACAGTGGAGAGCTTCTCATGTTATCGGGTCACAGGGTGCATGAAAGACTTAATCGCTTGTTGCCAGTCGAACAAACATCTTCAACTGTGTGCTTTCAGTCCACGGAGGCAAAGGGATCCGCTACACGGCAAATGAAGACACACCACCAGAGAAACGTATGTGCTACTGATGATTTTTTTTTTTTTTTTTTTTTTTTTTCAATCTTTTCTACCTTCCCCT